AAATAGCAAAGAGGCTCCTTACGCCCCATAGAGAACTCCAGAAGAACGCTGCCAGGGCTGACCAAAGCATGAATCATACTTTGTCCTTTGCTTCAGCATTTCTTCCTCAGAGAGATCTACCTCAAAAGGCCCTTGGCACAGTCACACAGACCTGCTGCCAGCTGAGAAAACCAGTACAAGTTTTGCTACAAGTGGAAACTGAGAGGAACCATGTGTAGTAACCACAGGGCTTAACCTCCATCCAGTAGTAGGCTTTCCGCCCTTTATTTGGACAGGAAACTGGAAACTATAAAGTATTTTTATTCACTCTGCTACTGTGCCCGTTTCCAGAAGAGGGAGCCAAGGCATGGGAAAACACAGCCAAAAATCAAAGCCATTGTTCGACGTGGGGGGGGTTACAGAGTGTGTATGCTTGGAGTTAATTCAAGGCAGGAGGGGATGTGAAGTGCTGATGTAGCTACACAAGTGAAATGCACATCATAAACTCAGAAACGAACTAAAAAAGTCTTGGGCATGGGACAGTATCACATATACAGACAACTTACTAACTTGAACCCCTGCATGAGTTACTACTACGCTAAGTCTCACTGCTGTGGGATGCAAGACACAACAGCAGCTGCTAACTTACCAAAATTAGGATGCAGTTTGGAAATCAAGCACAGTGCAGCTTTCTTTAGCTACAGTATTCTTCAGTTCCTCCCCAATTAACAGCTGCTTTAACTAATTTGCTTCTCACATCACCAGCGAGTTTCACTGTCCAAAATAGCTGCAGCTAAAAAAAGCATTTCAGCGTAGCATCTCTTGCATGCACATAAATAAGAAGTAAAACCACAGACTGCATCATTTTCTGGAAGCTAAGCTCCCACTGAGCTGATTAAATGGGAAATGGAGTTAGTTCAGAAGACAGGTGCAAGAACACAATCTCCTACCGTTTTTCCTGTGTTCAGCTTAACCTGCATGAAGATTCAACCCACAAAAACATTATTGGGTTAATGTATGAGCTGAATTATCACTGGAGCTTATCCACATAATGGTTGAAGATTTTATGAAGCACAGCTCAAGACCAAATCCTGAAGGGGTGTGAAAGGAGAAAGAGGCTCACAGGTTCCCTAAGAGACAACTGTCTCCTGAAAGGCCAGTCCAAGTGCAGCCTGAAAGCCTCCTGCTAACCAAGAGCAGTTTTAATGCGACTTGTCCAGTCTGAAGAAAACAAGTGTGGTTTCTCGTACTAAACACAACCTTGCAAAATCACTGCAGACTATGTGCTGAAAACAAGCAAATGATCAGGTTCACAAATGGAGACTGCTTTTAAATGAACAGCAGCTCCCACCCAGGAATTCCCCTAACCAGGTGAGAAGTAGCAGCATATTGTTGGAATTCCCATTTGATGAATACATCAATGTGCCCCCCAGAAGAGGTAGTTTGGGTGATCTCACCCTCAATTTAATCATATGAAGGCAGGAGGAGATAGGAAATGAATAAAAATCACTTCTAGCACCTCAACATGTCCACTGAGAAGCACAAATCCTTTGGAGAGTGCTGTTCATCAGCTTTGTGTTTTGTCCCTGCTCAGCTGAGCACTTGAAGCAGTGAGCTGATGAACTGGACTAGGGACATCGAGCAGGGCTGAGGACACGTTGCCATAAACCCAAGTTGTCCCTTTTCATCAGGAACATGACGGTAGGAACAGATACTGACCAGTAACAGCACTTCTGCATGGAAGAGACACCTGCAGAGCAGGCCAGAGCCTGACCCAACTTGCTAAAGGTAGATTTATGGCAACATATGACTCCATATCCTTTTCTATTTTTTGAGGTAAGCACCTCCAGGATGCTTTCAGCTGTGGCTGACAGCAGGAGACCCTGTTACCCGTGAAGATAACACACACAGGATCACGCTCCAACTCAATTTAATAAGCTTCTTAACAAACTTGGACAGAAAGTGGTTTGAAGTAAGTCGAGCAACACTCATCTACTAGTCAAGGATTCTTTTGAAGTAATGCTTTTAAGCTTATACTCAAGCATACAAAGTAAAGTTTACAAATTAAAACCAGTAAAACCATCCTAGAATAATGTAATGGCTTCCCCTATACGTACAAGGAGAGGAGACAGAATTCTTTCCGGGTAATTTCACACATCTCAAATGCTACGTAAGTGCTCTCCACATTCATTTCAATTTTTCTTTTAGTGTGGGTGGAAGAAGCTGAAAGTGATTCAGTGAAATCATCTTACAGAGAGAGCGGTACTTCACCTGGTTTCAAGCAGTATATGTTTGCCTCTTCAAAAGTCTTGAGAAGAAATGCTTTACTTAAAATGCTGACAGCTTCTGTGCAGCAGCCTCTGTTTTCCAGCTATATAAAATCAAACAGTTTGGTAAGTACTTCTCAGAAAGTATGACCAATCTTCATGGAAACCTATTACATCCCCCCCTTCACTAATGACTCCATTGTACAGCAGGAGCAGCCACAGTTTAGCTTAGATTTGACAGGCAGAATGAGACATGGCAACAGCAAAGACGACCGTTATTAAGGAGGTGATAGGTTTTGCAAACAGATTTGGAGCCTAAACCACACTTGACACAGAGCCTTTCTGCAGTGGTATTTAAGACAGGGTATTTTACAACCCAACTGCTTTGTGTCTTTATGAAAGAAATCATATTTGCTTTCAACAAGAGAAAGGTTGAGGACGGGGAGGAATGACTGTAGTGTACGATGTTTCATTACCAGGTTTGCCACTGTTGAGCCTGGAACAAATCTTCTTATAAAAGTTATTCTCATGTTGAGCTAAATTAAGTGGAACAAAAGATGTACTTTTTTTACACTAAAGCAAACGGATCCAAGTGGTGTTTAATAGTATTTGTTAAAGTGGTTATCTAACAAAAATGGGTTAGCAAAATCCCATTCATTAGTAGTCACCAAAGAAGACACTTCTCATGCATATGACAAAAGTTCATTCGTGTACTGAGACGTCTGTTTACTGTGTACAATATTTCCATAAATTATAATATGTTTCACAGCCCCTACCATTCAAGAATATTTCAAACAGATTATATATTATATTTGTATATGCAAACTATTTTATATACACTAATATAAAGATCCTTAGAAGTACCAATATCACTACCTTTATGCTTTCTCTAAAATGCATAGCTTTCGAATATTTTCTTGCAGTTACCAAAAACTTTACAGATTAAAGCTGCTTATCAATGTGGCATGTTCATAAAAACAAAGGGAAATAGTTCTATGCTAATTTGATAGTAAACCCCTTAAAAAACAGGTGTCTTTTATAATGGGAAAAAAACCCAAACCCAAACCCAAAACCACAAGCTAGTGAGAATTCAAGTAATCTATGCTCAATCTCTGTCCAAAGACTATAAGAAATTAATGTAGCGTTCTAGAAGGACAGTGAACTTCTCAACCAGGACTCTAATACTGCATTTCTCATGGAGAAAAATGCCACAAAATGCTCCACTTTCCACTTCAACCAGGACAAGCTTTAGATGACATTTACTACCACCACAACCCGTGTCAGAACAGAGGAAAAGCTGATCAGTTCTGTACAAAGAAATAAAGAGCTATTCCAGTTTTCTTTCTGCGGTTTGTTATTAAAGTTGTATTAAACCATACAGTTTCTCACAAACTAAAAGTCACACGTGGTTTTCAGACATTAACCAACTTGAAAAAAAAAAGAAAAAAGAAGAAAATAAACTTAAGAAAATAAAGTTAAAAAAAAAGAAGGGAAAAAAAACCAAAAAACCCAACAAACAAAACAAACCCACAACTGTTAAAAGTCTGGTGTTAGAATAACCAGCCTGGGTGAAGGCTGCTGTAGTCGGGGGGCTACTGTCAGCTTCTTCTGTATAAACTTGAAGATCTCCATACCACAAATGCCTCAAAGTGGAGAACAGAATGACCAGTAAGAAATGGGAACAAGTAATTTTGTTATCTCCATCATCTAGCTTAACCTTGGCGCTCCACAACTCTAACAGCTGCTTAACAAACAATGGCTTCCCCCCCACCCAGAAAATAGCTCCACAAGTAAACAGTGTTCACAGTAATGCAATCAGTAACAGGTTTTGTTAGATCCCGTTAAATCAGGTGTATCTGCAAAGCTTTATACAGTTTAATGCGTTAAGTATTCCAGTAAAATTAAGTGAAAACTAAGTTTCATTTCTACAGGGTAATATCTACCATACAAGACTAGATTATGTACAGTATGGGACCGGTGTGACAACTGCCTGCGTTTCATGATGTTAAACTATTTCACTCATCAGCTCAGTCTTTGTTTAACTAAATCTGTAATAACTTGATATACAGACCTAAAAACCTAGAGATTGATTTGGCAAGATTAGTGCTTACTACCACTGGACATACCCCAGTGCTGCAAAACTAAGTCAACCAGAGCATCCCATACCCAAAAGATTACAATTTGTTGACTTGAAAGCCTGGACTTCACATGTAAAACATTAAAACTATAATCCTAAGTGGAGTGAGGACAGTCATTAAACAAATACAGGTGAAGATGAACTGCATCTCTTCAGAAAGGTATGAAAGAATTGAAAAAGAAACAAGGAAACTTCGGCTCTGCTCAGCTCAAGGCAAAACCAGCCCAAGTAGCTCTAAAACTACAATTCTTACTCAGCAAGCATAAAGGCAGATCCTGCACAAGATGATGCATCAGAGGCTTCAAGCTCCTCTCCCCTCCACTGGATTTCCTAACATAAGACATCTTTCAGCTTGCAAACATCCAGCAGCCTTCAAAGCTTTTGTAGCCTGCTGGAATCAGTGCAGTGTCCACAGCTGCAAAGTGAATGTAGTGGGGAAAGGCCCCTGTTAAGAAAAAAACACAAATGCCTCTGGGGGCCATTTTGGTCATTAGTGAAAATGAAGGAAAAGAAACGTCTTTCCAACAATACTCCTCCTGAAAAGATGGGTCACTGATCCATTATGAATATAGCTCTCACCATATAAAGCACCAAAAAAGTCAGAAACAAGGAAAACAAAAACAAAATAATTCCTTAAATTATGATTTACAAGTTTGTACACTATTTCCTAAGCAAAACATTGACCTTACTGCAAAGTTTATAGATGAAAACTTGACCAGTTACTTTGAAGGGGAATGTATATCTGTCTATAACTTAAAGGTAGAAAATATTCACTGTTCTATATACACATTTCAAACAGGAGACAATTAAACTGAACTGAATAGTTGCCAATATAACACCGTGTTAACTCGCTGGCGACTAAACTAGGCATCAGTAGCCAATTAGAAAGTTTTGAGTTCTGTACTTCTAAAAATGCTCTTGTTCCTGTCCTGTTCACTTGGTTTTTAAAAAGGTATTATAGTGCATAGCCTAAGTCAGACTTTCAAAGAGATACAGCGCCTTTCAATGCAGTTTTTGCAGCATTTAAAAGGGACTTTTCTCCCTTCAAATTCGATGTTCATTGAAAAATCTGAATTGAGTGCTGTACTGTAGTAAAAATATTTCAGTCACAGACTGATATAAATGTATACTGTGCAGTACTAGGATTGTTTGGTGTCCATCTGCACACGTTTTACTTGGGTTCTTCAATCGTCCCCTTGCTGAGGTCTGTCATTTTGGGGTATTTCACTTTCTTCTGGTCCAGCTCATTCTGAGCCCACAGTAGTAGTTTCAGTAATTTTGCCAACTTGGGTGTTGATTCACGATTTTCATAGTCTAGAACAGCTTGATTAACCTCACTCCATACCTGGAAAAGAAATACTGGAGTTCAGTAATAGTCTTCATATGATTAACACTGCTAATGTCACAAAGACATTGCAAAGATCACACCTAGTGTGCCAATTCCTCAGGACAAAGCTCTTCAGACTATGAGCCTGGAGAAAACAAGAGAGCCAGGTAGTTGAATACTTCATGGTTTTTGAATCTTGCTTAAGAAATACTTCTGTTCTTTTGTAACCATTAGATACATTATTTTTTTAAACGTATCAACAATATCTGGACATTATTTTCATCACACATTAATAAAAGACATCAATTTCCTTTTGCAAAAGGACTACCTTCTGTCGCTGCATCATGTTAAGCAAGTCTCCAAATGGTGATTCTTCAGGATTATCAAAGGCAAGCAAAGCCAGCGTGCGCTCCATTTCTGTCAGGCATTCCCTGCTCTCCTCCCCTTGCTCTGCTAATTGGGTCTGAGCAAATTCCAGAGCTGCTTCTGTCTCACGCTGCCGAATCAGCTCAATCAAATGCTGCTGCTACATAAGGAAGATACAGCAATATTAGCTAAAGAAATTAAATCTTCATTATGGCAAGGCTGTAATATTCAGACACTAGTGTGAAACAGGAGACAAACAGTAATCCATACGTTAACAGTTTGAGGTCAGTCGTTCTTAATGTGCAAGAAAAGCAGCAGACATCTCTCAAAAATCTACTCAAAAAGGCAAACTGATGCTTCTGAATAACATGTTTTGAAAAGAAGCATTACTCAAATGCCCTGGTTTCAGTTGGAATAGAGTTAATTTTCATTTTAGCAGCTGGTACAGGGCTGTGTTTTGGTTTTAGTCTGAGAATAATATTGATAACACACTGCTGTTTCAGTTGTGGCGAAGTAGAGCCACTAAAATTCAAACTAACAGTAACTGAAGTTGGTTAAGCCACAGACCATAGCTACTGTTGTAAGTTTTCATGTTGCTAATTGTATATAATGGTTCCTGCGCCATGCCACAAAGTTCCCTATCCCTACAAAACCATGCCAAGAGCAAACATTTGAAACTGCATCCATGTTCAGTCACACAAACCTCCCAACACGCTGCTAAAGTCTGCACTGCTCTCAGCAAGCTCTAAACCAAAGTTTGCTACCTGTCCTTACCTGCAAATGAAAGTAAAGATATCTGTTTGTATCTAGCAATTCTGGATGGAGGCTGTTTATTAACGCAATGGCTTCTTGGATCTGTCCCTTCAATATCATTTCTCGAATCTTTATTCTTTCATCCAGAGTCTCTAAATCAACACTCGGTTCAATTCCCGACTCCATTCGAAATTTCTCTGCTGCTTCTTTAAAGCCCTCTGAAATAGAAACATTTTACCTATAAAACACATTTCCTTAAACACTTAAATACCAGTTTAAATGAAGATACTTCACTATTGCATGTTCGTTTGGGGTTTTTAAAGATTAAATCCAAACTTCTACTAAATTCCTTCTCTATTTAAATAAGCATTCCTCCAACAGACATCTAACAGAACATACTTAATTCATTCTTAATTCATGTGCCTTCTCTAAAGATGCATGCAACTTGTAATCCCACACCTCTTAACTTGAAAGTCTGCTTTATACTTAGAGCAATGTGCTCATTCCAAAGTGGGATTTCCAAGATTTGGGCAGTTTTGCTTTGCCCTCCAGCCCCCAAATCTGTTTCCACAGCCCTAGCAGTATTAACAGCAGAACATTTGTTTCTTATACTATAAAGTACTATACAAGTACTATAACTGTACTTTTTAAAGTTAAAATAGCTATTTTACATGCAAAGTCATGTTTTCATATACACAAAAATGATTTACACCACCGAGATGCTCTTCCTTCATCCCAGAGGCTTTACCTACACACCAGTGTAAACAGGGTGTAGATGGGACACAAATGCCTCCGCCCAGGCAACACATTAGTCTCATGGTATGTATCATAATTGCTAAGGACAATTTCTGAGGAGTTTTGATTGTTCTAAGTATAAAGTTAGGCAATGTGCTGTAGGGGTTAATATTTCTGGTCTCAAGCTGTTTTGTCAACAGTGCCCTTCTAAGAGTTTATCTTCCCAGTCAGTTAAAACTTGTTTCTGATAGCTCTTACAGCTTTCAGAGTGTTATTTAACAAATGCAACATACCTTGGGAGTCTGTTTTAAGGCACAAAAAAGGACATCGTACAAAACCAGGTTGTGTTTCTTTACAGCATTCCAGAAAACACTTTATTTTCTGTATCTTTTAGCAGAGGAGTTAAGGCTTATGAATGTTACTTCTATTACATGGAAACTGCTCAGAACCTAAATCTTGGTCAGTTTACACAAGAGCAGTTGTACATTTCTAAGAGCAGCCAACAGCAGTCACCAAGTCCTCAAAGCTCTTAATTTCACTCTATTGAGTGATACATTCCAGCCAAAACTGCCTTGATAAAGTAAGTGACATTTGTTCAAGAGCCTCCTAAGCAACACTACTCACTGTTACCTGTAACAAGGTAGTTCATGATAAGGCGGTTCATGTCTGCTCTCTGGATATGCAAGTTATTAAGTTTTTCCATCCATTCATCTTTTGTGATTTCATCAGGTTTTTCTGTATAACTCATTCTGGACTCTTACTACAAGAAAAGAAAGCATCTCATTTAACAGGATTCAAGCAGTAGCAAGTTTAATGTGTGCAAGCACTGTGTTACTACCATCTTTGTATCTTTTTTATGAAATCTTCTAATAAACCGAATGAGAGCCTTTTATCTCAAACCACAATTTCATATGTTCCTCCTCCTCGTTCCTGCACACTTTCACATCTACCAGCCGGTCTCTAAAGCTGCTTTCATCAGTCATCAGTATAAAACATTCAAATACCATCTTCTTTTACTTACTCCAAATAAAACTTGGTTGGAATTCATACAGGACACACAACATCACTGTGTGAAAAAGCGAATCAAAGTTTGACAGGTAGCCAGAAAAAAAACGTAGCAAACTTCTAAAGCAAAGCCTATGTAAGCAGCATTTGCTTTAAAGTCTTCCCCAAAACTTAGTCCGGGCGGCTCCATACTCTGTACAGCTACAAAACTACTCGTTACATTACTCAATGTATAACTAAAGACTTACGCTTAGCTTTGCTGTCCCCAAAAGTGCTCCTGTCAATGCTACGATTAAAATGTTATCTCATTGTATTTCTCTCGACATTTATTTCCCGATTAGTAAGCAAAGCGCTTTGCTAAACCCGGCATTTAACCATTGCTACAGCCAAGTCACGATCACGGGGCAGCGAAAGGGGAGGAGAGGCGGCAACAACAACAGCAACAGGCACCGCCACCCCTCGCAGGCAAACACGAGCGGCAGCGCGCCTTCTCATCACCAGTCGCTTCCAACAGGTTCTTCCTTCTCTCAACTACCGCCAAACCCCCACCGCGCCCAGCGGAACCAGCCGGCTGGAGGTACCATCAACCCGGCGCCGGCCGAGGAGCCGATCGGGCTCCGACTTCGCATTCACACCGCTCCCAACACAACCACGCGGCAGGGGAACGGGGCTCCCAGCACAACGGGCCCTGGCGGCCCGAAACACAAGAGACATTCACCCGCTGGGGGACCCCGACCTCCCTCCGCCGCCTCGCAACCCCCGGCCCGCCGAGCCGCTGCCCCCAGCCTGGCCCTACACGGGGCCCGTGACACCGAAGCCCTCGGCCGCGCTCGCCACAGGCCCAGCACTTCCCCGCCACCCGCAGCAGCCGGCCGCGGTCTGAACCGCGGGGCCACGGGAAGGGCCCTGGCAGCCCCCCGTCCCCCCGAGGGCAGCCGCGGACCGCCCGGCGCCATCTTACCGAGAGCGCCGCGGTGCCGGCTCCGACGCACAAACACGGGGCCTCCACCGCCTCCGCCAGGCCGCTGGCGTGGATCTCGCGAGAGCCGTCCTCTCGGCCAATCAGCAAGAAGCTGTAACCATAGAGGCGTCCCGCGGGATAGATTGTACACCCGCCCGTGTGGATCCACCCCGCCGGCGGTACCATAGAGACGGCACAGGGGTGACGGCGCATTAGAACCGCGGCCGTCAGTGGCGTGACGGAGGCCGGGGTGGGCTGTGTCTGGTCTGGCTGTAGGACGGCAGCAGGATCGGTGCTGTGCCGCTCAGGCGCAGCCGTGCAGCAGCGCTAGCCAGCCGGATCGCGGTCACTGGAGGCCGATGCGCACAGCGGGATAGAGTGCCAGGCCTCGTTCCTTATCCAGCATCCCTCGCGGCCTCAGGGCCGGGCCTGAGCTGCTTCCACTTGCGGTCATGACGCCTTAACTAGGAGCTCCCACGGCTGCTCTGTGGCCCACGTCCCTGCCTGGCACGTTAATAATACTTCTCTGTGGGAGAGGGACAACACCCGTACTAACAACCGGGGCAGAAATTGATGCTTTCGTTGGTCTGGTCCCTACCTCTGTGCAATGGCCGTGTGTGTGAGCACCTACACGGACACAGCAGGGTCCTCAGGAGAACAGTTGTTCTAGAGCCTTCCTTGGCAAGGGCTGGCTATTTGAGTTGGGGCTGCAGCGACAGAGTTGGCCCTGTCACGATAGTGGAAATGGAGGAGAGTGCTGCAAGTCCCAACTAGTAAAGTTCCACCAGTTTCCACATCGATATGAACTGAGGGCTCTGGTTTGTGATCTCTGACAGAATTTGTCTTGGCTGCTGAGGACAATTAATAAACTAACTGTGGTTAAACCCAGTGGGGTTTGTGGCTCAAAGCATTCCACAGCAAACAAGAACACACCTCAGTTTGTGTGTTAACATGGACAGTGGGTAGAAGATCTACAACTTTTATTTTGCAAAATGAAACTGGTCATAAAAAGGTAATTTCACTTACACAGATAATAATTTTAAATCAGAAACTCACTTCTATTGGCTATGCTTCAGCTTTGCCCTTTCCACTCATTTTCCATTCCTGTTTTTGTAACTGCCCAATAAAGCTCAGCCAAAACAAAGCGAGTCATACTCACTTTGATTACAGTTGTTCTTAGATTGAAACCAAGAAAATCAGCAATGAAATGACTATTATTTTAACTTACCTCCCCAAGCAAAGCACCAAGCTTATAAATAACACAGAACATTGGGCAAAGGACTTCAAATATTTAGTAATAGATGCTATTAGTTTTGACAAAGCAAGCTACAGCTGGCAAGTATCCCTGTTGATTGGAGAGGGCTCTTCCTCAGGCTTTACCCTAAAAGCTAATCTTAATTAATTTGACTTGTTGAGAAACATAAATGTTCAGACCCTATTTTGGAACCAGTGGGCTTGTAAATCTTGCTTTGATTTAGTCTGGTTCTTGTTAGCTCCTCCCTAAAAGGTGGAGTTTCTCACGAGACTTCCATAAAGAGGGAGAGAGGGTAAAGATGCCCTTCTCTACGAGGGGTTCCTGACTTGTCAATAGAGGGAGACATACCCCCAACAAGAGAGGAGGCAACAGAGCGTAGTTCATAGCCACAATTGCTGTTTACAGGTAAAGAATAAAGAATAAGTATCACTGTTTTCTAGTAAGTAGAATAATGTAGTGAATAAGTAAGGTAAAAATGTGTGAGCTGCTGATCGGTTTCATGCGTGACTGTGAGGTGCTGGGATATGTTTTTCCAGAGGCCGAGAAGTCCAACCAACTGCAACAGAGGTTTCTTTTTACTCCTTTATTGTTCCTGAGCTAACGAAGAGTAAGAATGAGCTGAAAGCAGCTCTTGAGTTGTGTGTTTGCTTGTCATGAAGTATAGTTTGTTGTTTGGGATTTTCTTTGTACTTGTAGGAGTTGACATTTCTTCTGACCATAATGTTAACAAAAAGAAGTTTGCAGTGTTTCTGAGCAGAATATCATGGCCAGCTGCATTCTATTCTTTTCCATAAATATGCTGTCCCTAGTTTTTTGATGTTTCTGGTAACATCAAACCTTCTTGGAAACTGGGCTTTCATTTGAGGGAAAAAGAGTTATAACCACTTCAGTTGCAACAAGCACACTGAATGTTGCTATAGTAGCATTTTCTTCCTGAGTCTGAAAACAAAGTAACTTTCTAATGCATGAATTGTTTTTATGCGGTTAAATACTACTAAATAGTACTAGTGGTAGTGACACCTTTTTTTGATGGCATCATTAGCCCAATGTGATAAAATCCTAAGTGTATTAAAAAACCCTATAGAACTGTTATGCCTTTATCTTGATACAGGCCTTTTGTTTCTCTACTAATGCTCTGAGTATAATGAAATCTCTGCATGTTTGGGGGACTGAGTAGTGTTCTTGAGTAATAAACGACACATTTACACAACTCCTGATAGAAAGCTGCCTTGTGACCTTCTGTATTTACCTCTTTTTAACTTGTATTTCACTGAATAAATGTTTGATCATTCCATGTATAATACCCATGGCTATATTTAATGAAGATGAATGCTTTTATTCCCTCTGCTTCATAACTTGGAATACTTAAGGATTTGGAAATACCAATCTTGCATGGCTTTTCTTTGTTAAGATTTACAAAATTAAGAAGGGAGTAGGGAGATACAAAGCTGTGCAGCAATTCCTACATTATTCCCTCTTTTCCTATCATTAGCGCCTGATTCTGTTAAAAAACCCTCACATTCTCCCCAGATTTGGAACCAAACCTGTCTTTTATTACTTAGGGAAAACCTTGCAGGATACTTCTGAGTACAAAGTTGGATTAAAATGTCTGGAAATAAACTGCTTTGTTCTCAGGAAATTATTGTATGGTTTCAATATGCCACAATGCTCTAAGAATCTTACAGTAATGAGGGCAGGAGTAACAAGAAAAGTGGGATTTTGGGGTAAGACTACAAAATTGAGATGAAAAGAAACATAAGTACTGTAATTCAGTGCAGTTTGTAGAATTTTTAAATGAGTTAGGATTTGATAAACCCTAATCTCAGAATGCCATTTTGATGACTGATATTTGGAGTTGAGTGAATTCTAACCCAAGATCAGTAATTCCTGGAACACTCAAAAAATCCCAGCAAAAAAAGGGGGGGAGTGGAGTTTACCTATAACTGGAGGTAAAAAATATTTGCAAGTTTCTGTCTGATGATAGGGCAATCCTATATTTCTGTGAATAGGATTAACCCTCAGTAAATATTTCTCTGTGTTCATTCAGTCTTTGCAACTAATGAAATATCAGGAGCCTTGGAGAATCAAGGACCCAGAAGATAAGCTACTCTGACATCTGACGTATCTATTTTGAGTGCTGTGCTGAACTCCAGGGACAGAGGCCTTTTTCCATAAACAAAGAGGTAAAACTGAGGCACAACCCACAGAAATTGGTCTCTTCTGACCTAAAATGATCAAGTATCTGTTAAAAATACCAGAGATGGAGGGAAGAGAACTTGCTCATTTGTTTTCCTGCTTCTACTCTTTTCATGGGCTAACTCTGTCTCTAGTTTTTACCTGGCTACTGAAATTTGCTTACCGGAACATTCAGTGAGGAAGAACTGAGAGAAGGGGTGAGTGTTTAAGTAAGTATTATGTTGAAGGGGTTTGCATCTTCAAAAACTGGAGAAGGTTGCTGTCTTGGTGAAGGGAAAGGTGGGTGTGAGAGCAGAGATGACATCCCAAATCTAAGGGGACCACCTCTTTTAAGGAAAGTTAGTGCTGAGGGATTTATTGATACCTCAGCGTAAGCTTTTGCCATGTTTAAGGAGAGGTGGACAAGGTGCTTACTAGATTTTTTTAGAAGCTGATTCATAGTCATTAATCTCTGTTAGGATTTCCCAGCAGTGTTTTCAGTTCAAACCAGTTAGAGACTATCATCATGTTATATGTGAGGAGGTCTAAACCAAAATAAAAGGTACTTCTGCTTTGCTGCCAGGACAGTGCAGATTCAGAGCAGTAACCCAGGAGTAAACTTCCTAAATTAAGGGAAATGAGGTTTTTACAGGAAAAAAAGAATGGGAAGGGAAAAAACTGAGGTGTTAATGGTACCCTTAGCAGGCGTTTAGTCGGCAAAGGTAGATAACTCTGACTTGGTCTTGAAATTGTAATGTGGTTTGGATGGTATTCACTGGGTGTGCAAAGTGAATCAGTATTATGTTAAGATGGTGTAAGCCTCTTACCAAATATATGCAAGGGGAACGTAATACCTGTTTCACTGCTGGATCCCCTATCACGGGCATCCCCTGTTCACTGCTGGTGTACAATTCCATGTTTTGCATGTTCCCTTTCCCTTGGTGTGCAATTCCTGGGTTTGAGCACTCCCTAGATGCTAAATTTGTCCATTAACAACATGTTTTAGCTTTTCCCAGGGCATATATCACAGCGCAGCTTGATCTACCAAATCACAAGGTATTTCCCTTCCATGTGCTTTTCATTTATTGTAGCTGCAGAATGAAAATCAAACTCTCCTTGTCTTTAATCATGGTGTCTTGTACTTTTGCACAGCAGTCCACTGGAGGGGGGGGGGGGGGATTACTTCTTGGTGCTCCTGTGTAAAGTATGTATTTATACTGCCCAGTTTTACAGATGGGAGAAAGAGGCTGACTGTGCTAATAGTACCTTTTCCAACATTGTGCTGTGCTTTTAGCACCAGAAGTCACCTGCATAGAATGCAGGCTTCTAAAAGATGCAAATTATTTGATGGAATCCTGTAATTCCACAGAATTCATGCAAAGTGTGTGTGTGCTTCCTCATGTTTTCATTCCTTAAATCCATTTTAGTAAACACTGGGAGCCAGCTGAAATCAATGTTATCAACCCATGAGGGAAAATGTACACTATTAGGGCCAGTCAAAAAGCCAAACCCCTCACTTCCAGCTGCCTGAAAGGGTCTTCAGGTGCCCAGGTCAGGCCTTGTAGATACTCCTGTAAACATCAACACCCCTCAATGACTGCAAGCTGCAGGTCGTTAATATCACAAATGATGGCAATAGAAACAAAACATGTAAATGGGAATTAACTATTTATAGATATGTATAGCAGCTTGGATCCTGGAGAGCTTTTTGGGTAGCCTGACCCTTTTAAAAGCAAACCAATGAGGTGGATGAGCTGATCACTGAACTTCCCTTCCTCAGCACTCCATAACCTGGACCCAGAGGAAAGCATTACTGCAGCAATTGCGTTTGATTCTTTAAAACAGGTAGAATAGGAATAAACCAAACCCCAACGGAGTACGCACAGGTGGGCAGCACGGAGCAGCTGGCTGCAAGCAGGAGAGGGCCCCCCCTGCCATGTTAATCCTGTCACGAAGCTGTGCTTCTCCTCCAGGAGAGGTCGTTGCGAACAAAACGGTGTTTAGCGCTGTTAATGTGCAGTTTCGCTCACGAATACAGCCGGGGTTCTGTAAGGTAAGATCAACACGTATTTTAGGTATGAGAATCGGGAGCAGGCGTTGTTGATGCCACAGAATTGGTCTGGGAAGGAAGGCCTGAGGTGACTGGAGCTTCCCGCCCCCGGAGTGGGGAGGACAGGCGCGGCCGGCGGGAGGCGCGGGCGGGGCTGCGTGCTACCCGCCCATTCGCCAGGGGGCGCGCGGGCCCGCCTCCAACCGAAGTCCTCCGGGAGCCGTGCGCAAAGCGAAGCGCTCTAGGCAAGCCGTTGGTCGCCATATTGGTCTCTATGGTAGCGGGGGCGGAGCGCCCCCGCCCAGCGCTCTGGCGCGGCTGCGAAGAGGAAATGGCGGCTCGGCTCGGCTGAGACCCGCGGCGGCAGCGAGATCCTCGCACCCCCTCCCCGCGGTGAGTGAGGCAAGGAGGGAGGCAAGCAGCCGGAGAACGCACCGGGACGGGAGGAGAAAGGGGAGCGGGGCCCGCCGCTGCGGCGGAGAGGTCGCGGCAAAGGGGCGGCCGCCTCCGGCCTGGACGCCTTTGGGCTCGGACTATAAAATGGAGGCGGGCGGGTGGTGCGGGTCAGGGCGGCCCAGGGACCCCAGCGGCGGGCGGCGCGGCCTGTTTTCAGGGGGATCGTCGGTTCGGCTGCAGGGCGCGGGCACGCCGGAGGCCTGGCCCGGTTCCAGAGGAGGTCGGCGACTCAATGCGGGGGCCCCGGAGGACGCTGAGAGCCGCCGCCCCGTAAGCTCATTACGTGGTTGGGCCGGAGCGGAGAGGACGCCCTCCCCGGGCGGAGCGGGCTGGAAGGCGGGATCCTCCATGTTGGGGGGAAAAAAGGAGAGAGAGGACGGGTGTGCTCTGAGGCGATCGACGCCATAACCAAGCTGACACCGGCGAGCTTCTCCGTAACGTCAGGACCGACTCTAACCGCCTTTTCCGTTCTGTTCCACCGTTGCCCTAGTACCGGTTGCGGGGTCGTTGGGGCGGGGTTAGCGCACGCGGCTGGGAACCCCGGAACATAGTGGTGGGGCTGGGGGCCCTCGGAGGGTGGGCTTAGAACTCACCTGCCCCGAGGTGATGGCTGTTACCATTGAGCGGTGGAGGCGATCTCCTTATTGGTGAGTTAAACAGGAAAAGTGGAACTTTAACATATTCCTTGTGGGGGAAAAGAGATGGGATTGGATTTTTAGGCAGTAGGGATTGTTGGCTGGCTTTAAATACCCTGTCAATAACGGTTCCCCATCCCTTGTGCTAATGTGCTGAACCACTGTCTCTTGGAGGTGATGGTAGTTTGGAGCTGCTCATTTGGCTTGCGAAAGCCGTTCTTTGATGCTGACCAAATATTGTTTCATACAATTAAGTAGTTTTCAGTGTATACCTCCAAGCGATAGCTATATTTTAGTAGTGGGTTAAGAAGATCTTACCGTTTTAGCTTGTCATTTTTAACTTGGAAAGAACCTGAAACCTGTGACAAAACGCATGTGTGTTACAGTCTCCCTGCTCTTTGTATGTTCAGTAATGCAAAACAGTGTAACATGCAGGTTTTTTCTTGCATGTGCTTTCATGTTTTCCTTCTAGGAACTTCAGGGAGACAAAAAAATGCTGATTTCTTTTATTTAACTCAAAGGATGTATATAGTATTCCTGATTTCCCTGGTTATTCCCCCTCGAGCTATTTAAGATTTTTTTGCAGAAATAGCTCTTTTGAATACTGAATCAGCACAGCCTTGTTTAAGTAAATTCTTTGGCAGCTGGTACTCAGCTATATTTTCCTTTATTTGATGAGAACTTGCTTTTTTTGTCTTTCTGTTTTACCCAGTTTTCTTGTAAGTGGCAATTTGAATTGGTTTAGCTTCGACTGTGTCCTTGCTACTTCTCCAAACAAAATATATAAGCTGTTCAAGCACTTTAATTGCTGGTCAATGACAAATGATAATGTGTAGTTACTGCACAAGTGTAGCACATACTGTGTTAATTGTAATAGTTATTTTGGGTTGTGCTCCACTTTAATGTATGCCAGCTGCTTGTTACTGTTCTTTGACATTTGGAACTTTCTATAGGAATAAATATAGACATGCGCTCAAAATAGCTCTTCACTTGGGCCTTAAATTTATTTTTCCCATGATGGCTGCAGAAACATTGCTCCAAAATGTGGTTTAATGCATTTTGGTGGAAGAGTAAAGGCTCATGTTAACCTTCAGCCTACTTGGAGACCACATGACCCCAGTGATTTGCAAATCAAGTAATTGTTGATTTCAAGACCGGCATTTAAATAATTCATTTTTTTTACAAAGTTTCTGTGGTATTTGGTTTTCTGAAGATGTTTATATTTTAGTTGATTTCTGTTGGTATGCAAATGAAGTTTGCAAGTGCATGTACATGACAAAATACACATCTTAAAACTGTTCAAATATAAAATGATACATGTAATTCACACATTATGTGCCTTTTGAGTTTAAAAACACCCCAGCCAACCAACCCTGAAGTTCCCGAAAGCAATGTTAATAGAATTGTCTGGGTCCATAGTAGTAAATAGGAGTTTTTCAGTGTCTAGGAGGCTCATCAAAAGGCAGTGTTTGTTCTACTTAATCCTGCTTCACCACTGAGTTTTTTCTGGTAGTAGGTTATTTTATTTGTTTCCCACTTAAAATAGTAATTGTCTTCAAAGTTGTAACTTAAAACTGTAGGATTTTAATTCTATTCAGCCTGGAACTTCAGCTAGAAATAGTAAGTGGGGAGAGCAAGGGCAAGGATTATAGGGGTTAGACTGAGACTTTATCAAGTTTAACTGATAAAGATGGAAGAAGGGGCTGTACTAGGTAAGCGTAAGATTTGGTGGTTATGGTAATGTCTGTCTAAACTAGTATTATTCTCTGGTGCACTTTCTCTGCCTAGTATCATAGTGCCACAAATAGGACAGTGGTAGGAGATTTAAGGAGGGGATTTTAATGTACCTAAGATTTAGCTAGTTTATGCAAGAGCTGGCTGTGCTTTTTGTGTGCTATCAGGCCTGTCTCCTCACTAGGAGGATCTTCAACAACTGTGAGTTACAAGGGTTGTACTACTATTAAGTTTTTATCTAATATAGCTTCTGAAATCAGTGAGAACTTCACAGGTACTAATGGTGGTAGATGTCTGGAGCATTCATAGACTTTGGGGTCAAGAAAAATATTAGATTTCCAGTTAAGGAGTAAGAAACAAAGATTAAATGTGTGTTATGTGTGTTCTTGCAGTAAACGCCAGCCAAAATTGGGACCTGAACTGTTTACTGCATTGTTAATAGGATGGGGGTGTGCTGTAGTTAGTGTGCTTCACTGAATTTTGTGGATAAATTTATTCGTTTTACTTCATTTAATGAAGCCTTTTTGTTAGAATAAGAGTGAAAAGGGTAGCTGGCTGTATTTAGCTTACTTTTTACAAATGAAATAAGGGAAAAAGTATAAAACCACAAGATTTTTATTTTTGTTCAACAGCTGTGCTGATGGAGTCAAATCATAATCCTGTAGTTGTTTTGAGTCCATTTCTGTATACACAGTTTTGACTGACAGCAAGAATTAGACATGCCAGAGGATACAGATTGTTTAATTATAAACTAAGTACAACAGTTTAGGCTCTGTAGCTAGTTTATGTACAGTTATAATGCCAACTTGATAAAAAGCCTGTACAGCTTTACTAGTTGGTGTAAAACTGTTTGAAAAGGGGGATTTTTAAGTACAGTGAAAGTATTCAGGCTGAAATCTGACAGTTGTAGGATTGTCATCCTTCATGTTTAAATATAAACAAGCTTATGAGCTGCTGAAGAGTTAAACTGTGAGGTTCTCTGATTTAGCCCCAGTGTTCTGAATATTCCATTACCAGTTAACAGCTGCTGAACTGTTGCTGTTCAGTTAACAGCAGTGTGCCTAGCAGTCATGATGAAGAGCTCATTTCTTTGGTACTTAAGTGGATGAATGCCAGATTGCGTGAATCACCTTTCCAAAGTGCATTTTCTTCCTGTGCAGTTGCTGAAAATGTGTTTTCAGTGCTGCTGAAGAAGTTAGATTCAGTAGCAGACACTGAACATTAGTCAAATAAGTAGTACGTATGTGTAAAATATTTCCAGTCAAGGTGACAGTAAAGGAATGGTAAAGCTATTGTATCTTGAGTTTATCCAATAACAGTCAGAGTTTGTAATTGACATTTCTGTTGCCTAAACTTAGACCCATGGCGTGTAAAACTGGCCTGTGCTGGGGCCTTTAAAAGGTTTGTTACAGAGAGATGCTTATGTTTGTTTCTTTTAATCTAAGCTTGTGACCACAGACAGCTGCGTTCTTAATCTGTATAAAGGGGGGGAAGAAAAAATCAGAGGTATCTACACTGCTTGTGATTCTGCTCACTTTTCCTAATGAGCAAAGTCTATTTTGCTGTCTCATTTTTGCTCATACTGTTCAGACCCCGAGAGCAGAAATAAACCTGACCAAAAGTAAATCAATTTTACTTTGCTGTCTTTGGGTAAATTTTCATTGTTAGGGCAGATATGGGATTAGCTTACTTGGAAGGATGTGAATAAAGGCTTCAGAAAGTATTACAGGAGTAGTAAAACAGCCAGCTGTCAATCTGTTAGTAAGCCAATAGAGTGTATGTGCATAGTGTTTTAAACACCCATGAAGCTCTGGAATAGAAAATATCAATGGCATGTGTATGATACTTTTCTTTCCTCTTAAAATTAGTATTTCCTCAAATGCAGAAAACAGTAAATTAAATGTGAATTTTGTTCATTGAACACAATTACGGGCCTTTGGGTTGGAGGATATGCATAGTCTTTAAGTGCTGTTACTAAAGCTGTGTTAGTACAGTTGTCAGTTACAGTTCTTTTACCAGTTACTCACAGGTCTGTGCTGGCAAAAGCTCTAATATGTATGCAAATATTTTGCAACCTGTTTGCTAATGTAACTTTTTTCATTCAAGGAATTTGAATGAACTTTCAAAGTTTAGCTTTCTCATGAGATAAACTGCCGCCCTCCTTGGAATGGCCTGTACTAGTGTGTTGCTGGAACTTTCTTCTTATATGTGCAGATGCACTGATAAACCACCATTGCACCAGGATGGTGCACACCTGATACCCCACCCTGCAAACAGAATGACTGAGGTGAAAGTACAGGTTTGCAGGTGTAATCAACAATACAAGGCACTTGGCACCAACATAGCTCTGTTGATTAGACATTGTATCCTTTCACCTTGAGCAGTTGTGACAGTGAACATCTGTAGCGTAGGTATGATCATAGTCCTGTCTATCATCAAATAAAATTTTCATGTTTGCCAGATTTCTGGTGGACCTGCTGCTAAAGCGCCTCAAATGTTTCTATGAGAAATCACTATTTAGCTGTGGGAACTTCACTGGTTCAAAGAAGCACTTTTTGCTCCTTATCC